GCCATGGGAAATGCAGGTTAGGTGGGTTAGCCATGGGAAATGCAGGTCAGCTGGGTTAGCCATGGGAAATGCAGGGTTACGCGGATAGGGCGAGACTGGGTGGGCTGATCTTTGGAGGATCAGTGCAGACTTGATGATGGGCCGAATGGCCAGCTCCCACACTGTACAGGTTCTATGAATGACCTGCTTCTGCGCTGTACCACATTGTTATTTGTCCAGATGCGACTAATTCAAGTCCAGTTCAACTGTGCCAATCAATGGTCAATGCCAAGACATAATTTATCAAAAAAATTAACATGTTGCACTAAACTTGAACATTGTTGAGCTGGTCCTTCAGCCACAACTAAATAAGAATGGAACATCTCATGCTGCTTATTCATATATTCCTGCATTGTATGTATGTAATAGAAGAAAACAGACTATAATCAGACTGATTGAACATCATGTTCACACAGAACGGAGAGAGCCAAAATCAAACCCACAGATTCCAGTTTTAGACTGAATCTGTACGATCCTATTGGACCGCTGCAGTATATAGTCTGGAAACGGATGCTGAAGGTCATCAATCCAGGTAAGATTAACCTGAATGGAGAGTGATTCAATTGGTATTCCTGCAACTTCCATGTTTTGTAACAGAAAGGGTGTGATTTCAAAGATCAGCATGTGAACCTTGAAGATAGAGCACACAGGGTAGATTTCCCAGGATGGTACCTGGGATCAGAGATGTCCATGAAGTGGAGAGACTGGAGAAGCTGGAATTGTTCTCTGTAAACTGAGGAAGCTGAGGGAAAGGTTGACGTGCAAAATCAGGAAGGGTTTGATTGAGTAAATAAGAAGGATTTCTCTCCAAAAGGACAAGAGCTGCAGGTAACACAGATTTAAGACAATTAGCAGGAACAAAATGGGAGGGAAACGTAAAGATTTATTTTAAAGCAGCAAGTCATTGTGATTTGTGATGGGGTTGTAGTCAAACAATGATGGAATCCCTATAACTTGCAAAATACTTGAAGGGAGAGCTATCTGCAGGATTCTGGGGAAGGGGCAAGGTGTTTGAGACTAATTTTCAGAGCTCTTCCAAAGAAACAACATATTTACAGTGGGCTGAATGGCCTCTTTCTGTGCAGAATGACTGATTCCCCAGAAAGTGGGTTCTGTTTAATGTTTTAATAGGTGATCATGTCCTTTTTTTTCATTCCTTTCTTGGTCAAAATTCCTCTGCCTTTTACATTTGTTCCCAAAGTCCTCCGATACAGCTTGAACCCTTCTGTATTATCACCGGGCTAATGTTTACTTGGAATCAGCATGCAATGCAGAGAATTGTCCGAATGTTTTGCAGAGTTCTCTGAAGGATTGAGTTCAAAATGTCCAAATTGCCTTAACTGAGAGGACAAAGAGCTCAGTGTTCTTCCTCGAACTCTGTGTTTCATTTATTCAGCGTCATGCTTTGTAGAGTCAGAATTTGACATACAACCGGGTGAGAGTTGTACATGCTGGAGATTGGAGATGGCACTTGTAAAGATCAAAATTCCCTGCCTTTCATTGTCCTCACTAGAAGTGCAATGAGACTTATTTCCTTCCCAGGAGTGAGTCTGGAAAGAAGCCATTCTTGTAAATGGACATTTCACCCCTCACTCTGGTGTCTCCTGCAAGGGCTGTTCAGCAATGGTCTGCATTGTGAAATGAACGTCTGATCCTTTCTTGTTCACCTTTTATCTGTTTCCCGACAAGGCCAGTTTCACTCGAGGTTCGCCCCACATTGCTTTTATGTTTCTGTCATGCACCTTCCCCTGCCCCCTGCCCCCTGCCCCCTGCCCCCTGCCCACTGCCCACTGCCCACTGCCCACTGCCCAATTAGAAAGACTTTCCTCGAATAACCTACCACGCAACTGGGACTTGTGTTTTTTTTAAAAAGTTCATTGGGTATGTCACTGGCAAGGCCAAATTGGCCAGAGTGCAGTTAAGATTCAACCATGTCACTGTGGGTCTGGAGTCACATGTAGACCAGATTATCCCTAAAGTGGCCAGATGGCCATCATTAGACTCTTAATTCCAGATTTTTATTGAATTCAAAGTCCACTGTCTGCTGTGACAGGATTTGAACCCAGGTCCCCAGAATGTTATCTGGGTCTCTAGACTATCAATTGAGTGATTATACCACTAAGCCATCGTGCTCCCCACCCACCTCCATTTCTTAACACAGCACACAGCACTGGCCATTTCACAGGACATTGCTGTGGGTCTGGAGTCACAGATATCAGACTGACTGGGTAACGTTTTCTTTCCTTCAAGGCACTGGTGAACCAATGACAATCCAGTGGCTTTGTAACCCACCTTTTGTTTATTTAGTTAAACTTAAATTTCCACAGCTGCCGAGGTTGGGGTTGGAAGTGTTGTTTTCCAGGCGTTGGTCCAGCTCTCTTCTGGGTTAACAGTCCAGTATCTTCCTCACTTCACCGCTGTTCCCCTCCAAAAGCCGGACAAAGCAGCCTGCTTGATTAGTATCACAGCCTTGCACCTACACTCCCTCTGCCGCTGATGCTCAGAGGCAGCAATGTAAGACATCTATAAGATGCACTGCAGCAACTCACCAACGCACCTTCCAAATCTCTACCATCCAGGAGGACAAGGGCAGCAGATACATGGGAACACCACCCTCCTGCAAGTTCCCCTCCAAGCCACTCACCATCCTGACTTGGAAATATATCGCCGTTCCGTCACTGGGTCAAAATCCTGGAATTCCCTTCTACCAACATCAAATAGACTGCAGCAGTGCACCACCGTCCCCTTAAGGGCCTGGGCAATAAATGCTGGCTTTGAAATCTAGGAGACAGAGTGGAGCATTAAACATCGCTCCGTTTGGCTGGAGCGCAGTGCAGTCAGTTTCTCTCCTATAAATCCCCACAATAAAGTTTGGAACTGTCCAACCAGATTTTCCGTCCTCCTGTTTCCCTCTCAAAATGGGCAGTATTAACCACCTCAGGATGTGAGGATGGAAATCCGACTCTAAGTCTTCTCCCCACTATACAGCCACCTCCCTCAATAGACTGTCTCTCAAATGTTTCACACACAGCAGGTAAACAGGGCACCAGACCTTAATGGGGAAAGCAAAACAATGTGGAACGTTGAAATTCGGAAATAAAATTCAGACATGCAGGAGAAACTCTGGGTTCCTAATCTAAGGAATATGGGCACTGGAGGCAGTCCAGAGAACATTCATTAGGCTGGTATCGGGTAGAGAGGGACTATCTTACGAGGAGAGTTTTAAAAAGCTGGAGCTGTACTCGTTGAGATTAAGGACAATGAGAGGTGACCTCATTGAACCATAGAAGATTCTTAGAGAGGATTTGACAGGATGGGTGTAGAGAGTCTAGAAGCAGATGGCATAATCTGAGAATAAGTGGTCGCCCGCTTAAGAAGGTGATGAAGAGGAGGAGGTGGGTGGGATGCTCTTCAGGTGGTTGGTCGTGGAGCTGATGGGCCAAATGGCCTGCTTCCATGCTTCTGGGATTCTATGAACTTCTCCTCTTAGAGGGTGGTGTATCTGTGGGATTCCCAACCTGCCGAGGCGGTGTCGTTAAATATATTGAAGGCTGCGACAGACAGATTTTTTTTTAATCAGGAGATCCAGGGTGATGGGGAAAAAGGCAGGAAAGTGGAGTTGAGGCTTATCGGGTCAGCCGCAATCTAATGGAGTGGTGGAGTGGACTGAATGGGCTGAAATGGCGTACTTTTGCTGCGGCGTCTTATGGAATTAACCTCATGATTTGAGCGTGGGCTGTTCTCTTCTTCGGGTCAGCTAGAGAAGTTCTGCAGGCACCCCCCTCCTCCCCCCACCTTGACCGTCTCTTTCACCTTCGCAGTTCCAGCCCTCCTGACGCTGAACCCCCAGACCGCGCACCCTCGGCTCCTCCTGTCCGACGAGGACACCCAGGTGAGGAGGGGCGAGTGGAAGAAGGTGCCCGAGTTCCCCGAGCGCTTCAACTTCCTGCTGAGCGTCCTGGCCACGCAGGGCTTTAACACCGGCCGGCACTACTGGGAGATAGACGTGGGCAACAACACAGCCTGGGATGTGGGAGTGGCCAAAGCCTCGGTGGCCAGGAAGGCCATACCGGAGAACGGGGTCTGGGCGGTGGGTCTGTGGGACCAGGAATACACTGCCTTCACCAACCCTCGCACCGTCCTGCACCTGGGAGGCATGGTTCCCAAGCAGGTGGGGGTCTACCTGGACTACGAGGAGGGGCAGGTCTCGTTTTACAATGCCATCTCGATGGCCCACATCTACACCTTCATGGAGAACTTCGCCGAGACTGTCTACCCTTACTTCAGCACCGAGAGCAGAACGGACCCTCTGAAGCTGGTGACCCTGCAGCTGTAATCCTTGGTGGCACCCGAAGGGGGTGCTCTCTCCACTGATAACCTTTCGAGCAGCAGGTGGCGGGGGGCACTGGTGGTTGCTGGGTGGTCAGGGTGGGATGGTTGGGGAGGGGGTGCCACGTAGGGCGTAGAAAAGGGGATGGCGCTTTATGGTTTTGTGACCATAAGGCCTTCCTTAATCTCCCAACCCCGAAACAACGTGGCTGTTCACAGAGGGTGGTTTAGAGCCGACCACATTACTGAGGGTCTGCCCAATTCTTCCTCGAGAGGGGGGGACGTCTAGTGAACTAGACAGAGTCTGATAACAATTGACGGTTGGGCTAGCTTTTAATTTCTGACTTTTGTCTTTTGGGTTGTAGAATCATGCAGCACGGGTACAGACCCTTCGGCCCAACTTGTCCATGCTGACCAGACATCCTAAATTAATCTAGCCCCATTTGCCAGCATTTGGCCCATATTCCCTCTAAACCCCTCCTATAGATATACCCATCCAGATTCCTTTTAAATGTTGTAATTGTATCAGCCTCCACAACCTTCTCTGATTGCTTGTTCCATGCACGCACCACCCTCTGTGTGAAAAAGTTGCCCCTCAGGTCCCTCTTACATCCCCTCCCCCCCACTCCCTTAAACCTACGTCCTCTAGTTTTGGACTACCCCCTACCCTGGGAAAAAGACCCTGGCTGTTCCACATTGTCTTCTCAATTGGACACAGATTTCAGTAGCTCCATGAGTTGGGTGCAAACCCAAGACTTTTGGTTAGTTCTAGTTTACTCAGCCCAGCGATGACGTGAGATTTCTGATGTTATGTCGCTGAGTGAAACACTCAGGGCCATTGTTTAGTGATGGGGATCACGTAAGTGCGCTCAATTTATTTTCAAATTTAGCTTCAAATAGGCAGCAAACTCCGATGTTTCTCCCCCTCCTTGAAACAGTTGGTTATCCTCTGATGATGGAACCTGAATTGAATTAGCACAACCCCCATCCCCCAAATCCCACCTCACTTTATTGCCTCCCCAACAAGTGACCACCATCATCATCCTTTACAGGTTAGGGGTCCAGCACAGAACTGTTTCAGCAACGTTTTATGTTGGGGGGAATGGAGAGATTGGAGGCGTGAGAGGGGAGGGGTAAGGTTAACCAGATGCCACCAGCACCCCCCCCCCCCCCCCCCACCCCCCACCGAAGTCAGACATCTGTCTCGCCTTGTGTTGCGTGTTCATGTCTCGCCTTCTCTCCTTTTAAGCAGGGAGGTTTAACTTTGAATGACACTGGGCTGTCAGGCCAGAACTGACCATGCAGCGATGGGAAGTTCGAGGCGTGAGACCATTCTAGTTTCAGTGAGAAACCTTAGCATCGCATCAGCGTGGGCACCGCAGTGGGGCGAAGCCTGTGGGTCACAATATTATCCTTTTCTCCTTTTGTCCATGTGAAGCAAAAACAAACTTACAATGACTGGTTCCCTTCAGTAGAATAGCAATTCATTGATGAGAATAAGCTGGGTAAGTAAGGGGGACGTGTTTGTTAGCCCAGTTGGGGTGGGGGTTGGGGGGGTGCGGCGAGCTAGCTCACGGGAGGGAAATTGCTAAGAGATGGGTCAGTTGTGCCTCCCTGATGTATGGTAACTTTTATCTTCTTGTGGGATGCAGATTTATTATGGATTGTTGCGTGAAGGGATTAAGCAAACTCTTGAACTATTTTCTGATTATAATGTAATAAATAATTGGATTCATACCGGTGGGCTGGGGGACTCTAATGCATTTGAATACCCAACCCCAAAGCATTAGGCTTTGTCACTGAATGCTGCCTTTTCAGTGTGTGTTTCAGCATTGTGACTTGTACTGTTGGATTAATAAATACAGATTTCTGTGTTTCAGAACCTTGTTGTTTTGAAGAGTAAGTTCATTGTGAAGAAAAACCTTCTGTAACAATTGGTGTCAGAAAGAGCTCAGATAGCTGTGTGGTAAGGAACAAGACAATGGTGGCTAGTTTTGATAAACTTTATACATACATTACAAACTGTGAAACTTCACACATACAAAAAAAATTCTCAGCCTTTATTCTATAAATAAAAGCCCGTTAAATACCTTCTACTAGAACACAGTTGACACTGTTACAGTTAATACAAAATTAACACTTGGGACCTCAGCCCTAACCTAATCTCCACAAGACGTAAGGTTAGAGCTTCAAACTTTCCACCAGTTTAAAGTGCTGACCTTTTACAGTAAATTAGTGCAAAGCTTTGCAAACACTAAAATTTAATTTCCGTGACAAATTAGAGAAATTTCTCCTTGCGCATCAAGGATCTGAATTTGCGCTGGATGCAGAGATGCACTTGAGGAGGTTAAAGCCTTCTTTGATGAAGAGTCACTCAGCTCCTTTCATGTCCTCGCAACCTCTGACCCCTCATCCAGCCCCACAATGGGCTGCGAGATACCTGCAAGCCTCGAATCCTGGCCTGTTGTGTAACACCCCCCTCCCCCAAAAGATTTTAATTGTTACAACGCTGGTGGCTGTGCCTTTAAGTGGGTGGCACTGCTGCCTCACAGAGCCAGGGACCTGGGTTCGATTCCAGCCTTGGTCTGTGTGAAGTTTGCATATTCTCCCCGTGTCTGTGTGGGTTTCCTCTGGGTGCTCTGGTTTCCTCCCACAGTCCGAAGATGTGCCAGGTTAGGTGGATTGGCCATGGGAAATTGCCCATAGTGTGTCCAGGAATGTGTAGACTGGGCGGGTTAGCCGTGATAAATGTGAGATTATGGGGATTGGGGGGGGGTGGTGGTGGTGATGCTCTTCGAGAGCTGGTACAGACTGGATGTGCTGAATGGCCTCTATCTGCAATGCAGGGATTCTATGATTATAAATGCTTGGGATTCCCTACCTCCTTTTCTGCCTTTTCCCTCTAAGACATCCTTTTAAAACAGCTTAAGCACTTTAACTGAGCCTTTGGTCACCTAATATGGCTCTGTTTGAGAACATCTCGAGGACCTTCACTGTGTCATTAAAAGCCCCGTAGCAATAAGTTGCTATTGAGTCTCAGATGAAACCGTCCTCTGGGTCCTAGGGGTTTATATTATAATCTGCCAAACCTTGGTCAAGCAGTTAAGGACAGTGCTTGGCAATATCCTGACATTATAGGTGCTTAAGGGTAGGATTTCAGAACAGAAAATGCCTGGAACATCTTATGCAATGGTTCCCTTCAGATTTCACTGTGAAGTAACCATCTGGAAACAAGACTGGGATATCAAAGGTTCACTTAGCAAGGTGTGGGTCATGTGGAGGGCTTTGTCAGTAAATGGTCAGGAACTATTCGATAGCACCTTCCAAACCTGTACCATCAATTTGATCCAGAAGGATAAGGGCACCAGATACATGGGAACATCGCCAAATGTAAGCTTTCCACCCACCCAAGCCACTCACCATCCTGACTTGGAAATATATCACCGTTCCTTCACTGTTACTGGATCAAAATCCTCACATTCCCTCTCTAACAGCGCTATCCTGGCATTCCCTTCTTAACTATGCCATATGGACTGCAATGACCCTCCACTGTCATCTCAAGGGTTACGAGAAATGACCAATAAATGCCAGCCTTGCTATGGTGCCGACAAACTACGAGAAAGGACAGCATTGAAGTATTGAGGAAGGCTGAGTGGAATTGGAATGGCATAGGGAGTCATCAGGGAGGCAGACAGCTGTAGCGGTTTTGCAAAATGAGAAGTCTGTGATAAAGAATACAATGGTAGAGCATTTAGCAACAGATAATATGATCAAGCAGGGGCATAATAGCTTCATGAAGGGGGAATTGTGCCTGACAAATCTATCAAGACCTTTGAGGAATTGATAAACAGGATAGATAAAGGGGGATCAGTAGATGTAACATATTTAGATTTCCAGAAGACCTTTGTTCAGGTCGCACTCATTTGGCTACTTGATAAGATAAGAGCCAATGAGTTGAGGTAGAATCTTAGCATAGATAAGAGGACTGAAGATGGAGAGTTAGGATAAGGGGGGAGTTTTCAGAATGACAATCTGTAACTAGTGGAGTGCCACAAGGATTAGTGCTAAGGTGACAATTATTCCAATATATATTAATGATTTGGATGCCAAAAGTGATGCACTATTGACAGGCTTGGGGATAACATAAAAATAGATGGGAAGGCAAGGAGCAAAGATGACACAAAGTGTCTGCAGACAGAGGAGTATAAAAATATGGAAGTCTTGCTAAAAGTATATAAGGCACAAGCCAGACCACACCAGGTATGTTGTGAACAGTTTTGGTCCTGTTAGCTAAGGAAAAATACACTGACGTTGGAGGAAGTCCAGAGAAGGGTCATCGGGTTGATTCCAGGTATGAAGGGAGAGGAGAGAGTTGAGTAAATCGGGCCTGTACTCTTTGGAGTTTTGAAGAATGAGAAGAGACTGCATTGAAATATACAAGATGCTTAGGGGTCTTGACAGGATACATGCAGAGAGGTTGTTTCCCATTTTGGGACAGTCTACGACCAGAGGGTATAATCTGAGAATAAAGAGCCAACCATTTAAGACTGAGATGAAGATTTAATCTTTTTGTTTTCTTGGAGGGTTGCTAATCTGTGGAATTATTTCCTGCAGAGGGCTGTCGATGCTGGGTCATTAATTATATTCAATGCTGAGACAGATTTTTAATCAGTGAGGGAATCAAGGGATTACAGGTGGAAAAAAACCCCAGAAAATGGAGTTGAGGATTAGCAGATCAACCATGATCTCATTGAACGGCACAGCAGACTCAATGGGCCAAATGGCCTATGTTTGGTGTTATGATTGAGGAAAGGATTGGGGAGGTTTGACTGGTTGCTCTGAGTATACCCTGTCCTGCGATGAACGATATCATTATATCATGTGAAGGAGAATTGGGCAGCAAGAAGGGGAGTGCGAAATCAAAAGCTTGCACCGATCCCCGCTGAGATGGGGAGATCAAACTGATAAAACAAGGACGCCTTTTATGTTTTAACATGCTGTAGCCCTGAAGTTGTCCGTAGAACCATTGAATTCTTGCAGCTCCCAGGTAGAGTCGAGAGAACATCA